TATAACTAGTAAATTCAAAAATACACATACTTTTGTTTAAAGGTCTACACATGCTGCCCCATGTTAAGTTGTTCGGAAGATTTTTTTGGCAGTTGCCAGTTTCTCAATTTTACAGCTGTTTTTGTACAGCAGAATGGAAAAATGATAGAATGCCTGAACAAATCACCGAGCATACGTTTTAAAATGAAATTTGTTTAGAAAACGGAAACGAGTCGAGCGAAAAGGAAAGTTTTACTGGAGCAACGCGAAAAAATGAAGTGGGAAAGACTGAACAGGATTCGTAAGCGTAAAGGCCTGGAAGAGTTACCACCACCAGATGCTGTTGAGGGTAAAGATTTCTGTATATTGAAGTGTTTATTCCCAGTGTATCTGCAAGGTTTTATAAGATTGTTGGGGGGTTTTTTTTTCATTTTTGACGGCTTTTGCGAACTTTATTTTTTATTTTTTTTACACAGAGTCATGTTAGTTGCATATTTTGTCATGCCAGTTCGTTAGTAATTTGATTATTGCAGACGTATCTTTCTCGAAATACTCGGAATCCGCTTTTAATTCGTTGTTTAGCTATGGTTCTCAGGCTATGCAGTTGGAACTTTTCCAACTGCTTTGACCAATGCTGCATTGCCTAATGGACATCCTGCTCAAGAATGTGATGTTTGTTCACTTTCTGAGTGAACAAGTCGCTTGCGGAACGTTTTTCCGGGCAAAAACATTTAGCAGGGATTTAACTGCCTTGTTAAAATGTCTTTGATGTGTGTTGCGCATCACTATCCGGTCTCAAACATTGCCACTTCTAGGCCACAGTGTGATAGTCTAGTAAATTTTGGATAGATGTGATCCTTGTGGCGTGTGACCTCGCAGGGAAGCGTTTATTAGGTATTAAAAAAGTGAGCAATCAATGATGTTAGTAAATCGACCTAATCATAAACGGTAGGGACTATCAAAATAGGGGACAAGAAGAATTCTGCTAAAATACTCCCAGGGACAGCTGACGAGTGAAAGAACGTTGACGAGAAGAATCAAGTCGAAGGATTGACGGTGTAAGGAAGACGCGTAGCTCCAATCGTACCTCAGACCAGGGCCGAGAGTCAAAGAAATGAGGGTTTATATGGGCCTAAAGAGGGCTTCTATACGGGAGAGAAGGAGTGTCCTTCCTTTCCGGTGATGAAGACCCAAAAAACACCAGACAGGCGAATTAGAAAAAGTTGTTAATTGAGAAAACGGAAGGAAGGGAAAGAATTTGTAGATTGGTAAATTAGAT